CTTGCAGCATGTTGCACCAGCTACATCAAAGTTTGAGCGTTAAGGTCAACACCAACTTCTACATCAAGACTAGTTAGCTTCACACTAAATCTAGTACTTTATTCAAGTGCGCCATTTCTGTTGACACTATCACTGTCAACTCAAGTCAGCCTCAGTTCGGTTCTGCAGACTTTTGTTTTATCTTGCTCCTTTCTGTCCACGTGTTTCCAAACGTTCCTGTATAATTTCCTAAAAAATTATCGTCTCATTGTATCTGATCCTGTGAGATTTGGCCTCATGCAGCACATTTCTCTCTCTCACTTGACTAATTAAAATGTCAAACTTATCATTTCTCTTCTAACGTTAACAACTCTGCCGTGGGATAAAAGATTCCACCAACAACTTAACAGTTCCAAGTAAATACAGCATAAAATCACGTTGAAGTCGTTCACAGTCAACATGTGCTTATTTTAAATAAAGACAATAAATAATAATATTTTGGCTCGCCTAACAGTAACATTAACAGTAAATGTTAAACAAGTCGTGCCTGTTCAGAATCAGAAAGTGACGCCTTCCTTTATATTTCTGTCTTGTGTTCATGCATGCAAATTTCCATAAAGTCGAGGTTCAGCGAGTGGAGAGGGAGAGCACGCTAACACAGAGAGCTTGAGAAACATCGCAAAAAACCATTAAATAATCAAATAGTTTTCATTTGTGAAAACTTCAGCCTCAAATAAATGACTGATGAGGAAGATGAAGACACATTTTAAGAATAAGAACCAGTCTGCAAATGTCATTTGATAAAATGGAACAACTTGCATATGTAATGTCATTCATATTATCTCGAAACAGGTAACATCTACCAATACACTGCAGAATGCAGTTGGCTAAATTCAGAAAGAGCAGTAAGCTTCGGAGATAGCCTGATCACAAGTAAAATGCGGCAACTAAAATATTTTTACAAAGTCAAAGTCTCCACAGACTCCACAGAGATGGGAGGCTTCTTCTGCATCAGCCTCGTTTAAACTTTCATCATGTGAGACTGCTTCCCCTGAGGCCCAACCATGTGAGGGTTAATACTTTATGGGGGGAGTTATAGCAGCACAATGCTTTTCATTTGTCTTATATAGGCATGCATAATTAAAATTCTTCACTAACTTTAAATAGATGGATAGTCTTTCTTTTTCTTTTTTTAATCACTGAAGGTGAAGTAAAATTAAAGAGCGATAAGTCAGTTGCAGAGGAAAACAGGTCAATGGTTGTTTTCTCAGCACACAGGTGAGTGGAGGTATGTGTTTTGTTAGCACGCACATTTAGGTCTACGCAGTGTTCTGTGCTCTGCAGCACGTCTGAGTGTTTCTACTCCTAATGCAGGTGCACATACGCTCCCATCTGCTCCTGCTGAGATTCTGATCAATACCCACCGCAGTACTGTTTTATATTCCGAGTCGCTCGACTCAGTCCTGCAGTCAGCATAAGACACACTAGCCTAAATTGACTGAGGCATAAAAATAAAATTTCTTTAAAATGAAATGGATTATGTCAGCCGTGCTTCCTTTTGTGGTTTCTGTAATCTCCGTAGCAAAAGGCGCCAAGCAGATATAGAAGTGTTAGACGGCGGAGTGGCAGCGATATTAAAAAATGGTTATAGAGGAGATTTAAATCAGGGTTTGACACTTTTGTTTAATATCACAGGCTTTTAAATAACATGCAATTATCCAGTCTCAAACAGGGATTACAGTCTACGGGAAGGCAATCCATTCACATTCAGACTAATATCCTATTCTCACAGGAGCGAGCTTTAGAGGTGCTGGTAAATGGATTTTTTTCTTTTCTTTTTTTTAACATCTGGACTGAGCTAGCCCCCTCCCCCCCCAAATCTCCTGTGTGCTCAACTATCGTAATGTTTAACTTGGTATCGATCTTCTCATGTGAGTCTTGACAAGGCAGCCATTAAGTCTATTTCCCAGGAAGTTCTTAAAAGGAATGTGGGAGCCGCATACTGATATAACAACTGTTAATGGTCGTAGTGAACTGAATACTGATCTTCTGTGTTTGCAGCCTGATCCTTTCTCTGTGTGTGCGTGTTCATTTGTTTACTTGTCTAATGTTTTAAGATTGTGTGACATTTTGCTTTTTAGGGTGTATTAATGGTCGGCCCTCCAGGTACGGGGAAAACCATGTTAGCCAAAGCCGTGGCCACAGAATGTGGGACCACTTTCTTCAACGTGTCCTCCTCCACGTTGACCTCCAAATACAGGGGCGAGTCGGAAAAACTTGTCCGTCTTCTGTTTGAAATGGTGAGCGTGTGTGGAAATAAGCAATTGGGCCTATGGGCAAAATGCTGAACCCTTGCATTTTATCTCCTTCCCTGTGAGTGTGCGTGTATGTTTTTTGAATGGGTGAATCAAAGTGAAATTACGAAGCACTTTGGATAAAAGCAGCACAGAAGAATGCGGCCGCTTCCTATTTACATGTGTGTGCACTGCAGCGGAAAGGAAACTCACAATGCGAAACTTCTTCCTTCTCAGGCCCGATTTTATGCGCCAACGACCATCTTTATAGACGAGATCGACTCCATCTGTGGCAGGAGAGGAACATCTGATGAACACGAAGCCAGCCGCAGGGTTAAATCTGAACTTCTTATTCAGATGGATGGTTAGTGGATTAGAGAAATGGGTGAAGCTGTGCGCGGCTTGCTGTTACAGTTAATCAAGGATATTGCAAAAATTTGAATTAGAAGCAAACGGGGCAGGTGTCATAATGCATTTGTCCCTTTGGCGCCTCATTACAGCTACATGACTTTTTGAGATACTTTGAAACTGAATGTGTTGCGTAAACAAGCTGAAAATTTTGTTTTGTTGTTTTTTGTGAGCAGGTGTTGGGGGAGCCCTGGAGGGTGACGACCCCTCTAAGATGGTGATGGTCCTGGCTGCCACAAACTTCCCTTGGGACATTGATGAAGCTTTGCGACGACGGCTGGAAAAGCGGATCTACATCCCTCTGCCCTCAGGTGACCTCACCAGGCACAGACTGACAGCACAGAAACTAAGATGACTGATGACTTTGTAACACCGTGGACTTCTAATCATTGTTTTATGTGCCTCTCTACTGCTTTTCATTCCCATTTCTCCTTAACTGGTTTTCAGATGCATTGCCCTTAAATGAAAACAATTTTTGTGTGTATTTGGATGTAGCTGTTGGTCGTGTCGAGCTTCTAAGGATCAACCTGAGAGAGGTGGATTTGGCTACAGACGTAAATCTGGACCTCATTGCTGAGAAGATCCAGGGCTATTCTGGAGCAGACATCACCAACGTCTGCAGGTGTGCATGGTTTAGAAACTGATTATCAGTTTATGTTTCATGTTTTATATACAGAACACAGTAAAGCAAATGCTGCTTTGTGTTCTTTGTTTCAATATGCTCGTACCTAAACTATTAAAAGATTGTTATCACTGCACGTTACTGTTGGGGTAGCATGTAATAAGTGGTGAGATGGCAAACTGCTGCTGTGGAGCTAAAAACTTCTGATTGGCTCTGGGTCTTTAGCAGAGTTCCCAATTTGCGAGTGCTGTGTAAAACTTTAGACTTTGACTGATTTTATATTCTCCTAATTCACTTTATCCAGAGTGGCTTACGAATGCTGCTGTGCAATTTATCTTTTTTTAAAAGCCTGAAGCAAGAGTGGTGCTGCTTCCTCAGTGATCGTCCTGCTAGCGCACTGGAAGCTCAGGCTTTTTCCTCTCTGTTTTTCACAAGTACTGCCACAAAGCAGTTTTCGTGCTCAGCAGCCTCAACCTTACAGAGCTTTTGGAAAAACTCCTTCCGGGGTAGGGATTTTACCTTGCAATTTGAAAGGTGTGGGCCTTTATGTCTCTTCTTCTTGGTCAGTGGACAGTTAGGGTTATATCGCCACCTATTGCTTTGTCATGTTTTGTGGCCTGCACCTGCATGTAGACTAAATTTAAGTTACAAATCGTTGTCTTTTTAGTAAACCTCCAATTTTTGAATCACTGTGGTACTTTAATCTGGCCCTGAGAAAAAATAATTTTATCTAATTCATAACTGCAATGCCTTCTTTTAGTACCTTTCCATATAAATACCAATCAACTCAGGAACACAGGCTGCTAGTAATTTGCTTCATCTCTACCTAAATGTATAACTCTGTTATTACTTGCTAAATAAGCAAATTATGCAAAGAGTAACTGCACACACGATAATGATAATTTGACTGTCAGATCATGAGGTCACGTCGTCCCTGTTGTGTTTTTATCAGCTCTGTCTCTTCAAACACGCAGCACTGTTTTGATTGTAGTGCAGTGTAGCAGTTTTTTTAGTGTAAGACTTTTATCCTCACTGTCCTGTCCTTGATGTGGGGATCCTTTCTGCTATAGCACTGCCAGGAATGGCAGGCATTTCATGCATCCAAAGCTGTCTCTGCTCATCTCTCCCTCACATTGTTTCATTGACCTTGGATGCATGCTCATTGTCCAACATACAGCGTAGCCTGCAGGATTTCATCACAGCTCAGGCACAATCCTTTCTGACAGGGCTAAAACACAGCAAATGTGTAATTTAAAACAGTGCAATTATGTTTGGCGTGCCAAGAGTAACTGTCTTCTGTCTGCCTCTGTCCACTCCCTGCTTGTTTCTTTACACATACGTCAGGGACGCCTCCATGATGGCGATGCGTCGTCGAATCCAAGGCCTGAGCCCCGAGGAGATCCGAGCTCTGTCCAAAGAAGAGCTGCAGATGCCCGTGACCATGGAGGACTTCACACTGACACTCAAGAAGATCTCAAAGTCTGTTTCTGCTGCAGACCTGGAAAAATACGATGCCTGGATGGCTGAGTTTGGGTCAGTATAGAGATCGGTGGTGATTAGAGCAAGAGGGGCAAAAACCGTGAGAGGAGGACTGATAGCTTTGAAAATATTAAAGGCCTTGAAAAGCAGCAGTGGAGTGAGCGCTTGTATTTCAACAAGTCAGCACATCAGGGATCAGAAAGACTGGTGCCTTTTAGGGAACATGAAAAAGGTGGCTTCACCCCTGCAATTTCACTTGCTGTCCAGAACTGTGTTTGTAGAGATGTCAGTCATCCAGCCCACTCAGGTGACCTGATGAAGAATGGGTAAACCTCTCACACTGGGAACTTTTATGTAAACTACCAGCTTAATACACACAGGGAATGTGCATAAGGTTTTATACACGAGACCTCATGCAAGAACAGTTTTACACTGCAGAGCTTTCAAGTCCAGCATCTAAGAACACCGTTTGAAACAGTGTACAGCTGTTTTCACACAAGACTCCCTGGAAAAAGTCGAGGAAATTAGATCTGAAAATTATCCATAGTTGTTCTTTCCTACATGTGGCACACAGCAGGAAACAGTTTCCAGTCAGATTTGCTGTAGGTGAGGGGGCCATCTGAATAAGGCAGGAGGCAAGACACAAAATGTGTGAATACACCAGACGAACATTTAGCTGCGCTATTCTCACATTAGTGCGGGCTGATTTCACACAGGCTTGAGCTGGCAGGTTAAAACTGTCTCCGATCACATGCGCCTCTGTGAAGTAATGTCTAGAATAATTCAAGGTGTGAAAACAGCTAAACGAGTTAGATATCCTATCAGACACACGTTGCACCCGGACAGTGACTTGCAAATAGGTCACCGTCTTACAGAAATATTGGTGAAATTACTGCAGCACAGCAGGCAACATTAAAGAAAATGTCTTTCAAATTAACAAAAAATAAGATTCAGTTTTTCTCTATATAAAGTGCACGAGTGGACCTCTCATGAATTTCATTTCAGAATGTGAGAAGTTCTCTTAAATCTGTCACTTAGGGACAAATCTGTTCTTGCACGAGG